GTGTATGACTCGATATTACCTTAATTCACAAGCTATTTGTAAGCAATGATGGATAGTGGCTAGCAGTGGAATCCAGAACGCACGTTTCATCCTACTATCAGAACTCAGTAGCTAAGTGGATAACGCGATGACGTTTGAAGCGAATGATACTGAGTTCGAGTCCCAGAGTGAATATCAACTCTGAGATGCAGTTACATCCAGCTGACGAGTCCCTAATGAGACGAAACGCGCGTCCTGGATTCCACTGCTAGCCACTATCCATCTTTGCTTACAAAGTAAGTATAATCTGGAAATTTTACTTGATAGTTCCCCTCACAAAAAGTGTTAAAGGAACTAACCATTGTTCAATGTATTCATGGTTCTATTTATTTATTTATTTATTTATTTAAGAAAATCCCAAGTGAAAGATTATGAGTGCTCATTGCTGAATGGTATTCTAACTGAGATCGACTCATGATTTCAACGATGAAAATATATAATGATAAAATTGGTCATCATAATGAATATGCATCATACGATAAGAAATTGGGACTTTGAAAGGATAGGGTAAGGAAGATAGGTATAATCAAAAACTATTCTTATCAGGTGGAAATAGGACTCTACCGCGCAATTTCGTGGATTAGTTGATGTTAGACACTAACATTGGTGGATGCCAGCTAACTCAATGGTCTAGATGTTAAGCGTTCGCATGCGAGATCGAAGGTCCTGGGTTCGAAAACCGTGTATGGGATCCTGGATGCTCACTGCTGAGTCGTCTCACGATAGAACGGAACGGTCGTTCAGTGCTTCCAAGTTTTCAATGGTGGTCTAACATCGATCGATTCATGATCTCAATCAAAAAAAACGAAAATAAGTGAATAAATGTATAGAAAAATAATGGTAGAATTTGTTTAGTTAAGAAAAATAAGTTCCTCTCACTTATATAAAGAAAGGAAAAGAAAATCTTTGAAGAATCACCACTAGCTTCTATTCTGAGCGAATTGTGGTAACGTATCAAGACAGTGAGTTGCACTATCTCTAGGACGTCAACCAGAGAGTTGTGAAGGACTGAGAGATTTCAGTCCTGAATAACTTTATCTCATAACCCAGCATTGTATGGTAAACTGGCTACTGCACTTTTTTAACTAGTTCCCAGCCTCAGCAAATAATACACAAGGTGGAATTCGCTGTAATAATATTCGTAGTATATATGTAAGCCACCGAACTCGGTGTTTCAAGATGATGGCATCCGTTGAATTATCATCACTGTACGTTACTGAATCCTCGTATTAGTAACAGTGTATTGCCACTAGTTATCAGCAATCCTTCTAGAAAAAGCCGTGATTGAAGTTCGTGATGATCGTGTGGATCTATTGCCTGGATAAAAACGTTTCGCGGATGCTAATGACATTGTGAAATGATACTCAAGCCATCCAATCTATAATTAATCAGTTGAAAATCAGTGTCCATAGGTACAGGATGAACTGCACACTTTTTAAAATCCAAAGTACTTTAGTAAGACTTGCTGGAGACTGTGTTTTCACATACCGGTTAATAACTACATCAACAAAATGAATAAAGTAATACCCAATAGTTTGAGTTCATTTACTACATACATTTGATGGATGAATATTTTCCTTGTACTCACATTTTCAATCATATCTTGTTTACCTTTGTGGTATATTCATAGTTCCTTAAGACTTTGAAGGTTTTCACTGGAGCCAAATTGGTGAATAAGAATTTATGTATTCAGCTATAATCCACACGCTTCATGTTTACTCTTGAATTGGCCACTGGATAAGTTGAAGGCTGATCTATTTGCTCACTATTATTGTATTTATTTATTTTAACACATAGATATTGGTACAACGAGGCACCAAATACACATGCACCACACAAAACTCATTCGATATGTGTGAGGGCTGTGATACTGCCCGGGTGCCCATACCGAGGCAGGTGGTTTTCATAGGGGGCCACACCTGGAGTCTTCGACCTAAAGATCTGATTCACAAGACAGTGGAGCAACGTAAAAAGATTCAGTCCCATTGTAGCCGATCACCAAGAATTGGTTCATACTCTATTTTTTCCTTCAAGATCCTGGAATCCATGTATACGATTGGTTCGGAATCAGGGTTTTCCAACTCCCCTAGGTAGGCTCTCTATGTCCACCAACCTGATTAAGTATCCGGATATTCGCTCTTCGTCCTCTCAACTTCGTAAACAACACCCTCACCACGAGAAGGCAATGAGTAGGTCTTCCCTGACAGAGGCTTTATACGAGTGGCCATGTGAGAGCATTTCGAGAAACAATCTATGAAGTTGTCATCTTGATAATCATCAGAATCTCTATGTTATCAGTTCATCTTTGTAACATTAAAGTTAATCGATTCAATTTTTTTCGTATTTAGTTCATCGATTCTACCATTAAACTCAAGTTCATACACACACACAGACTGTTATTATGTATGAGTATACTTATTTATTAGTGTAGGCAGTTTATTTACATGACAGCATAAATGAATTACTTATACATATGTAATTCATTTATCTCAATAACTGATAAATTTTCAAGTGTATTGATTTAAAGTACTCTTTAGTAGTGTCCTCAAATGTCCTGGTACGGCCGAGGGTGGAGAGAGTCAGCTCTCCTTCTCCAAATTCTCTCACATGGACACGTGCATACAAGTATTTCTAGAGAAGTCCGACTCACTGTATTTTCGTAGCATTACTGTTGTTTACGAAATTGAGAGAGAATGTTCGGCGCTTTAACCGGGTTGGTGAACACGGAGAGTTCACCTTGGGGGAGTTGGGAAACACTGATTCCAAACCGATTGTGCACATGTGCTCCAGTATCCTGAAGGAACGAATGGCGTATGAACCAACTATTGGTGACCGACTATAATTGCTCCACTGTCTTGTGAATCAGACGTTTAGGTCGAAGGCTCAGGATGTGGTCCACTAAAAAACCACCAGCTTCAGTTTGGACAACCGGACAGTATCCCAGCCCTCACACAAATCGAATAATTTATGTGGAGCATATACAGTTGGTGCCTCGTTGTACCAATGTTTATGTGTTTAAATAAATAAATAATAAATTGACTAAACTAGTAAAATACTTCGAGCAAAAGTCATAGTGAATTTTTAAGTGTAAACGAAACGCAATCGTCTCTAACATCTTTGACAGTTAAATATTGTTGAGATGGCTTCGAGAAGCATCACGGAGCCTTCAGAGATCCTAGAGGAACCGAAGAGTTTACACCCAATCAGAACCGGATACAATTTTCTAGAATATCAACGTGACATGCTATGATTGGAAGGTAGCCTAACTTGTTTCCTTGTAGATTGACTGGATTATAATGATGTTATAGCTAAAGCTATTATCTATAAATACTCATGATTTTCTGTATATTTTTGATTCTCACTCAACAACAACTTCTGACTTCTTTTGCCTTCTGATTTTGTGACTGTAGAGTTTTATGCATTTGACTGCCGTTAGTTGTATATCATATTCTACGTTAATCAAGTAGCGAACGTTACATATATGATCTACAGGGATTGATATCACGTTTAATTTGCTAGCTAGTCACTCAAATACAATATAGAACTTAGCACATGTGTACAGTGGTTTAGTTTACCATATCCTACTGGCGAATCCCAGAGTAGTATAATTAGTAACAGCACTAATGGTAATCGAAGATATTAAGCGTCGAAGATACGATTCATAAAAGTATAAACTAGTGAAATAATAAAAGATTTATGAAGAATTTAGAAAATTAGGATCTACATGAAGAAAAATCGTGAATACACCTGCCCTATCGCAAACAATCATGAACAATAAAACTCCTACCACTGGTTACGATAATCACACAGACCCTGACTGTTTGGTGTGCACGTACCTACATGGCTCAGTTCAATAATCAATGTCTTCATGGAATGATCCCACTTCTTGATTTGCTTCACCATAGCTTTTTTCCTACCTACTCTTATGTCAGTTGATTTTTGACCACAAGTGCTTTCGAAGTAGTTCAAGCATACTGAATAATCACTAGGTTATTAGTTGTAAGGTTAGATTCAATATTTTCGATATAGATCGCTTATACAACTAAGAAGATTTACATCAAAGTTGAAATACTTTCAAAGATTTCAACCCACTAAATCAATACTACAACCATAAAACAATACCATCGAAATAATCAGATGAGTGTTATTTATTTATTTATTTTAAAACATAGATGTCGGTAAAAGGAGGCACCAAATACATGTGAGTCACACAAAACTCATTCGATATGTGTGAGGGCTGTGATACTGCTCGGGTGCCCAAACCGAAGCAGGTGGTTGTCTTAGAGAGCCACTTTCTGAGCCTTCGACCTAAGGATCTAATCCACAAGGCAGTGGAGCAACGTAAGGAGATGCAGTCCCATCGCAGCCAGTGAACAACAATTGGTTCATAAGCCGTTTGTTCCATCAAGATACTGGAGCCCATGTACACCATTGGTTTGGAATCAGAGTTTCCCAAGTCCCCTCCCCTAGGTGGAATTTCCATGTCCACCAACCTGGTTAAAGAGCTGGACATTAGCTTTTCGTCCCCCCATTTACGTAAACAACACCCCCGTTACGAGAAGGCAGTGAGTAGGACTTCTTTGGCAGAAACTATGTACGCGTGGTCATGTGAGAGCATTTCGAGAGATAGAGTGGACTCTCTCCAATCTCGGCCGTACCAGGAAATTTGGGAGCAATCAGATGAGTGTCTTTCAGTCGGATAACATTAGGTTCAGAGTAACACATATTCAAGTTGATAGGGCTGTTGATATAAGTAAAATCCTAGCCGATTAGCTTTATAGACTACGTAATACGATACTGTCGATTGTCATCCAGTAAGTCGGAATACAATTTATTTATTTATACTGTCTATCAGTGAAAGGTTGAATCTTGTGGTCTCATTAACCCTTAAGTTCAAATAAACAATTTGTTCATATTTTATATACTAAAATAACACTTTTCACATTAATTGATCATTTCAGATGGAAAGGGAGTTTGTACAAATTGGTATGGGTTGACTTATTAATCTACATCTCAGCTTATTATGTTTTAAATCTATCTTATCGGTTTGCAATGAATGACAAGCAAAAAGTGTAAGTATCATTATTTTTATTATTATTATTACTATTTTATCAATTCATAATTATAATGAAAATCATCAAAGGAACTAGAGGTTAAACATTCGAGTGTGAGACTGTTAAGTCCTGAGTTCGAATCACGCGAGATGGGATCGTGGATGCGCACTGCTGAAGAATCCCATAATATGGCGAAACGGCCGTCCAGTGCTTCCAGGTTTTCCATGGTGATTTAGCTTTAATTACCTCATGATATCAACCATTGTAAGTAGTATTGTTAAAATATGAAAAAATGTAGTTTTTTAGGAAAGAGGTTAATCGATCGATTAGTGTACTTTAGATTTTGAAATAGTGGAAAACATTTACAATTCAGGTGAATGTTTTAGGTAGTGATATGTTCTCTGAAATAGATTATTTAATTGTACAGCCCGTGTTGTCATTATGGACAAACTTTTTCCAGCGTCTTCTTCGTTTAGAACGGAGACTTTTAGTGACCATCCACGACCCCGCAGAAGGACTCGAACCCAGGGCATTTGGTTTTATGTGCGAACACTAAGCCAGGATTCAGTGGTGTACAAGTTTAACTCTTAAATTTTCCAAAATCTCACATTGATAATTATCATGTGCTAACTAGTGACTAGCTTAAAGAGAAAATTTCGTGAGTTCTAATGAGAAGCTGTGACCAGTTAAACATAAACATATCTTATGGGAGACAGTTATTCACCGGAAGCAACGAAAAATGGTTGCACATTACTGTGAATTAGTTGAATTTAGAATCGCATCTCATTTAGACCACATACCCTCAATGGTTCGATCTCTGCATACAGTGTCGTGTTAGCGCTTCGTTTGTACTTACATTCACGTTGTTTATCTCTGTTGGTCGATCTTTGACCCTGCCATTTATTAACCTCTTACCTATGGGTCCACGGATTGAGCCTAAGTCTGTGTACCTGTTGGTAACTAAATGATTCAGGTGGCATGTTCCTAAACATTATCTGACATTCTTATAGTATCTCTTATCCAGAATGTTGACATTTCTTCAGTCGAATTCATGTCCAAGATTATCTGTATACACTGTTACTACTGATAATATATTATTTCACTGTACTGTTAATCAATCCATATGCGAAGTGCGGGACTCCATTTTATTAAAAGCAATATCATTAGAAGTTAGTACAGTTAATTCAGTAGATGAGATAATATAACATCGGGTACTTTTAAAAAATACTGTAATACACCGATCTCACAGACAGCAATTTAGAATGAGTTTTCCAACATTTGTCGACCTGTTGTATACAATGACCATCATTCAGTGTTGTTTATGACAAGTTACTCGTACTGTTGATAGAGTTATTAATGAACAAATCATTTTGGAACAAATTTATATTAGATTGAGTTAACATAGCCCAAAGAAAGTAACCAGCTGAATCATGCCAACCAAGTTGTACTGTGACCATCAATCTAGGTGACTCGACATTATATACACTATGTTAAAATGTGATGGTGGTTGGAGGTAGTCAACAGGAAACCCTGGACCTAGGTTTCAGTTTCGCACAAAATTATGTCTACAGATTAGGTTGTATCGATTGTGATGAATTATACATTGAACAGAAAATTGGACTAAAAGTGGTCTTAATGACCTGAGAGCGTGAATTCAGTACCAAAACGATAACTGTCTGGTGTCGGTCACACACAACCTTCTTGTGAGTAATTTTCATGTTAGCTCCGTACTTGTTGAGACCTTACTGCCGGAGACGGATTTCTATGGAATAAGGCGAGGTGTGCATTTTTATGGTCAACCTTTTCTAAACCTAACCCTTCTTGTGAGAAGGCAGTATCGCTGTTATGCTGATTGATTGAAGGAAACACCTTACTGCCGTCACACCTCTATACAGTCAGCAGTACGACTTCACCTTCGGACCTTGGGTTTGCTACTTATTAATTGACCGTATTTTGAACATATTACAATACAATTTAAAATTAAATTAGATCAAGGAATCTATTTCAGTTTTACAGTAATATTTTTTTATCGTTTTGATGAACAAATCTTTGAGATACTTGACGAGACTACAATTTATGAACGAACCAATCAGATTTAAGATGGCAGATTTTGAATTTCGGTATGAAATCCATTTACTCATTTAGTTGAATATCATTTTGACATTTTAACTGATGTCAGTTCATGATGAGAACTATAACTCTGATTCTTAACCACAGCATCAAACTGTAGATCCTGATCCTAATTCCTCACACTAATATATAATGTTCAAATAATCTGTTATGTCCTTTGGTTTGTCTACCCACTTTTGGTGCTGAGGATTAAGACCTTGGTGCGATAAGCTGACTGACCTAACCTTGAGGCTAGTACGCGTGAGTTCGAAGTAGGGTAGAGAGAAGAAAACTATTCTATCATCTGATTGACTGACAAGCACACGAATGAGAGAAGACAAGACAACTGGAACACTACTCGACCTATTTCTGATATCCGGATTTCCTCTGATTCCTCTTCTGATTTCAGATTACTCTAAAGAGGTACATGAACAAATAGGTGACTAACCCGACCATAATGTACAATAATTAGGAAAAATACAATTATGTCTAAAGCTGGGAATTAGAGTAGAAAATAAGGTGCGAAATATGATGCTTAAATTACAATAGCTTCGGAACAGAAAAGGGCTGTGGCAATGAATCATACATCAAACGAAAGCTTATGTTCTGTAGAATAGATTAGGGACAAAAATAAATGTCAGTATTTTACAAGCTTTGAATGAACTGAAGTAACGTCCTGCAAAAATAACTTTCGTAGTTTATCAGATCTTCTTGTTTTCCTGTTCACAATATAACCCCAAACAAGTAGATGAACATCGTCAAGGTCACTATTCAATCACTCGAAACTCATCCATAAATAATAGTCCTATCCATAGTTAACATGTTATCACATACTTAACAATTAAATCATCTTTCTTATTTATTATTAATCTATTTTTATAGAATTTTTGAAGAAATTGTTGAATTCTGTGTTCGAACTAAAGGTGATATACCTATATCATTTTTATTGGGATTTTTTGTATCTGGTATAATATCACGTTGGTATCAAATGTATTTATATATACCATGGATGAATCAAATTGCACTTCAAATTGCTGTAAGTTCATTCTATATTAATACTTACTTTACTTACGCCTGTTACTCCTCGTGAAGGAGCATAGGCCGCTAACCAGCATTCTCCATCCAACTTTGTCCTGGGCAATCCTTTCTAGCTCCGTCCAGTTGTAATTCATCGTTTTCATATCTGCTTCTATTATCCGACGCAATGTGTTTTTTGGCCTTCCTCTTTTTCGCTTCCCTTCAAGATTTCAAGTTAGGGCTTGCCTCGTGATGCAGTTTGACGATTTGCGTAATGTATGTTCTATCCATTTCCATCGTCTTTTCCTAATTTCTTCTTCAGCTGGAAGTTGGTTTGTTCTCTCCCACAGAAGGCTATTGCTAATGGTATCCGGCCAATGGATGTTGAGTATCTTGCGTAGACAGCTATTTATAAATACTTGTACTTTCTTGATTGCGGTTGTTGTAGTTCTCCAAGTTTCAGCTCCGTACAGTAGAACTGCCTTGACGTTCGTATTGAAGATTCTATATTAATAATTTAATGATAAATAAATAATTTCCATGGTGATAGAAAGAATCAGTAATGAGAAGGTCAATCGATAGTAAACAGAAGTCAACTAAACTATAAGAAAGGATTCATTTTCTTAAGGATTAGAGTGATAGACATATAAATGAGTATTTTTGCATTTTATCTGGTAGGTGAGGTTTAGCATGTAGCACAATGTGTATCAGTATCGGATTTCGAACACTGTATGTCACAACACATACAGAAAATAACATCAAGATACTTTGTTTATAAGGACTTTACATATGTTGACAGTTGACAACATGACAGTTTGTTACAAGTTTAATACAAAATAGGTGTTATCAGTATAGAGGTTGTGGAGATTACTAGGTTTTTTGATTGAGATCATCAACCGATTGATGTGAGACCACCGCTGGGAACCTGGAAGCACCGGACGGCCGTTTCGTTCAATTGTGTGACTTCTCATCACTGCGCGTCCATGATCCCGCTCGCTCGGTTCATGATCTCAATAAAAAAACTTGATAATCTCCACAACTCCTATACTGATAATTAACATGTGCTCACTGGCGACTAGCTTCATGAGGGAATTCTCGGAGCTCTAGTGACTAGCCATGACCAGTGGAGCTAGTCCGTGTCGGGTAGAGACAGGTATCTACCTCAGTATAGTGGAAGTTGGTCGCGTAATTTCGTGGATTGGTTGATGCTAGACACTAACACCATTGAATACCGGCCAGCTCAGTGGTCGACAGGTTAAGCGTTCACAAGCGAGACTGAATGCCCTGGGTTCGAATCTCGCAAGCGAGATCATCGATGCTCAATGCAACGGAGGAGTCTCACAATAAGACGAAACGGCCGTCCGGTACTTCCAGTTTTCCAGCGGTGGTCCAAAACCAATCGGTTTATGATCTCAATCAAAAAAAATCTGATTGCCAAAAAATATTCATACCATTTTTTACCTGATGCACTTATTTTATGTTTGTAATCGTTCGATACTCTATTCAAGGTCATTTGAATTGTCCACACTTTTTAAATCAATTATAACCAACAGTAACTATAAGACTTAATGAATAAAAGAGACGAATTGGAGGTAGAAACCTCTAAGTGTTGAAATAATCTAGTTTTATTGAGATATTTTGATAGGACACTAGCCAACTTCTTTCATAAAAACTATTCATAACAATTGTAATCAACTATTCTATTGTATTCATGATGAACCTAACTGTTTCTGAGATACATTTGGATTGTAAACTGAACGGTAACATTAAATTTAGAATAATTCAAGATAATCTCGCCGGGAGGAATCGTGGATGCGCACTGATGTAAAATCGCACAATAGAACGAAACGATCGTTTAGTGCTTCCAGGTTTTCCATGGTGGTCTAGCTTCAATTGATTCATGAATTCAACTTTAGAATTACTTAAATCTCCACAAAACCCCTTCTGATAATAATCATCGTATACCCACTAGTGACTGGTTTCAAGAGGTGTATCCTGGATTTCTAGTGAGAAGCAGTGACTAGTAGAGTTCAGTCGGGTCTGTTGTGAGATAGTAACTCACTGATGACAATGGTGAATGGGTTGCTCGATTTCGTATACTAGTTGAAGCTAGACATTAACACATTTGGTTGCTGGCTCAGTGGTGTAGAAGTTGAGCGTTCACGCGGGAGACTGATAGTTCCTGGTTTGTAATCTCGCAAGGCGGGTCGTGGATGTACACTGCTGAGGGATGCTACTCTAGGACGAAACGGTCGTCCAGTGCTTCCAGGTTTTCCATGGTGGTCTAGCTTCAATTGACTCATGAATTCGACTATAAAATTACACAGTTAGGAAGCGCTACTACAGTTGACAACTTTAACAAGACGTACGATTATCTATAAATGTACTGTGATCCACTTATTCTATGTTTACAATGAACTATTTACCGTCTATTGATCAAGTTTATGCTTTTTCATCCCTTAAGTACTGACCTAATTCTATTGATCAAGCTACAACAATCAACCAACTATTTCCACTGAAATAACATCTCATTATAGTGTACATAATATTGAGTCACTTAGACTAGTGGTTAAAGTGAAACTTCATAGATAGAATTTGATGAACGTTAAAGCATGGGATTGGAATAACCTTGGTTATCATTAAAGATCAATCAATAAGAAATATTTCAATCCAACAGGAGGTTTATTAAAATCTGAACAAATCGGTGATAACATATTTGAACTTTTGTTGTAATGGAACAAGCTTCTTATCTTTTCGTAATAGACCTGACCTTATTCATTTGTTTTAATGATTAAATGGTGACCTATTTTCAATAGACTGTATAAAAAATAACAATTAAAATGTTTCTTCTCAGTTGAAATCAATAGTCAATCTAAGATTGACTGCCAACGAAAACCTTAAAGCACGGGACGACCGTCTAACCCTAGTGTGTAACTACTCAGCAGTGAGAACACAGGACTCGAACCCAGAACTTCATGTCTCATGAGTGAACGCCTAACCTTTAAACTACTAGGCCGGTATCCAACAGTGTTATTCTCTCATTTCAATAAATCCATGGTCTTGAGTAACCTTTGATCTATTGTCTGCAGTGGATATCCGTCTTATACTCGACATCGATTAGATTCCACTGGTCACGGTTTCTCACTAGGACTCTATGCATTACATCTTGAAGCTAATCATTAGTCAGCACATGATTGTTGTCAGTATGGGGAATTTGTGGAGAGTGTAGTATTTTCACAGTCACACATGTTGTTCATATTTCCTTTCAAGTGAATCAAACAGGAAGGCAAAATTTCTTTCAACAAATATTGCTTAATAGTTGACATCATGAGTCAATCGTAACTAGAGCACCATGGAAAACCTGGAAGCACTGGACGACCGTTTAGTCGTATTATGAAACTCCTCAGTAGTGCGTATGCACGACCCCACCTCGTAAGATTCCAACATAGGATCAATCGATCTCGCGCGCAAACTCTTAACCTTTGGACCACTGAGCTAGCCGGTATGCAACTGTGTTAATGTCTAACTTCAACTAATCTACGAAATTGAGCAACACATCCACCATTGTCATCAGTGAGTTATTATCTCACAACAGACCCGATTGAACTCTACCGATCACTGTTTCTCATTAGAACTTCAGGAACTGTTTAAGTTTTTCAATACTATTGGATTGTTCATTCGCTCTCTTACAATAAAGCTATTTTCATTATTGCAAATTTTAACACTTCGTCATCATTTCAACAAGTTAATTCATGTAGTAGATTCCAAGAATATTCGTATTATATTATCGCCAACATCATTTCTTAAATGACTACTGAACGTTTTCTTGGGTAAAATTAAACTATCTCAATCTTAGTTGGATACTAGTTGAACTAGAAATAGAAGTAAACTTAACTCTAACTTTTATCCCCTAACGTTTAATAATAATAGACAATACTACTGATTAGAATAGGTAAATAGAATATGCTGAAATTATATAAGTTAGTTATATAATATACCCTTGTGGGCCAGGGTAATTTTACATTGGTTTTCAGGAGGACCATCCAGACTTTCATGTGACAACCCAAACAGTACAGCTCAATCCCGGTTAACAGGAGAGCCAGATACCATCTAGGCTTAAACTTTATAACACGAGGAGTATAGCTCAATCCCGCTCCACAGGAGAATCAGACACCATATGGACTTTGGCGCTACAATCTGAATAGTACAGCTCAATCCTGTGGTGCAACCACACAAGTACCAAGCATCCTAATGGTGGTGGTGGTGGTGGTTGAAAATATAGTAATACAATACTGCTGTTTGTTTCAAATTGAATAAACTCAAACTGCATTCACTTTCCTAACAATAAACCACTGTGTAAATAGAGATGGATGGTGTCTAACAGTGAAATCCAGAATGCGTGTTTCGTCTTCTCTGAAACTTGTCAGCTATACATGTCCATCCATCTCTCTTTATAATGTTTTTAATCAAATGACAAGATACAGACATGTCAAAAAGAGTCTGATCAACTGTAGTCCTTAACATCAATGAGAAGATTTAACTAACCAACTAACTACTTCATAACACTTTTTATTTTACATTTTCTTTTATTCTAGTCATCTATCAATGCAAAAAGTGAAGAAGGTTCACGTAAAATTCGTTTAACTATTATGCGTTATATGAATTTAGCCTGGGTATTAATGATGAAACGTATCTCAGATCAAATTGCATGTCGTTTTATTAAAAATGATGATATTGGTAGTTTACCAAGTGCATTAGTTCCTGTATTACCTAAACGTAAATCAACAAATCATAAACATTTAATAAGTAGAAATACATGTCAACCATGGTCAATTGATGCAAGTGAAGTGGTACGTACATCACCATCAAAATCAATATTACAACAACAATTATCTCAATCACAATATCCAATACAAACTAAATTAGATAGTCCATTAAATAATATATTTGTTCAACCACAAACACCTAATTCTTCAGATGTTCATACACCATTAGCACCATTAGCTGCAGATGAAGAATGTGGTGCATTACCTGATGCATTTGAAGCAGCTGATGTTGTAGAATTAAGAGAAATGTTAAGAGCATTTAATCAAGATCAAAGTAAGTAAATAACTATGATTCATTTAAATTTTTTATTCAATATATTTGAAAGGATATCACAAACTAATAGAATGAATCTATGATCTTTTATGAAAAGGATCTGTTTAGAAGTGTTGAGATGACTTTCAAGAAGTATGATGGAACGTCCAGAGACTCTAAAAGATCCGAAGAGTTTACACTCAATCTAAGCTTGATACAGTTTTTTAGAAGATCAACTTGACTTGCCTCCTTGTGGATTGACTGAATTATAATGATGTTGTAGCTAAGGCTAATATCTATAAATATCCATGATTTTCTGTATATTCTTGATTCTTACTCAACAATAACTTCTGATTTTTTCTGATTTTATGACTGTAGGATTCTATGCATTCGACTGCCGTTAGTTGTGTATCATATTCTACGTTAATCAAGTTAGCCAATATAACAAGAATGAAGATGATTGTTATTAGAAAAATTGACAATCGCCTAAGAATTATTGAGGTCTAGGGAGAAATGATATAGAATAAATTAATGGTACCCCTCAATGAACTATACATGTATTTTAGATCACAAAAGTCAGTCGTTATGATGAGCATGCTACATTTAGACTATATACAGATAATCAAATAGTCAATATTTCTAACCCTTCAATGAATTCCATAGTAAAATACTGAACTGGTGTCATTGAAAAATTATTGTTCCATTCCTAACTTGATTGATTCTATCCATCATAGTTCCTACTAGATCTTTGAGAACCTTATCAAATCAAATCAGTAGTGAATATATGATTATTATAGAATACACACTCTTATAGAGAGATTCAGTGGTAACATACTGTGATACATGAATGTTAGATATTCTATATTGTTCATATTAGATGGTATTGTCACATAAAAAGCCTCAAAAATTCCAAAGATGCACTAAGAAGGACCCGATATACTTAATATTGATCATCACCAAGTGATCACTCAATTGTAAATACATCTCAGTCCTACAGGAGGTCAAAAGCGGCTCGGATAGATCAGTGGTAACATATCTGACTGTGAAGCTGAGTGACACGGGGTCGAATCCATCAGGGAGCATAACAGCTACACCTTGCTGACGAGTGCCATGTAGTATGAAACTTAGATCCAGGGTTTCGTGTTGACTACATTCAACCACCATCTCATCTCAACATAGTGCATGCAATGTTGAGTCACCTAGATTGGTGGTCTTATTGCAACTTGGTCGATAGGATTTAGTCTGCACTAAGAAGGAGCTGACATACATGACATTGATCACCACCTAGTGATCAATCAACTGTAAGAAACAATAGACCTTGGTTTCTTCCTATTTGTCACTCTCCACTAAAGCTTATTTGTATTCCTGAGAAAACTGATGTTTTCCGGTGGTTGATAAAGTTCGAGTCAACTAAAATGGATTAGTTTTCTCATATATTATGAGTAGGCATTGCTAGAAAGTGCCGAATAACACAAAACCACGTTTAGCAACTTAACAACCCAGTAAACTACATAAGATGTCAAGTCATTTATAACAGTGACCAAATTCGATCAACACTAAAGGCACAAGACTTTGGTTGCTATTCAGTAAATAATCAACTGTAAATATGTATATGTTTTAACAGATAGTTGATGACATCTTTTGTTACTATGCTACTATTCTTTTCACTATAATCCATCAATAATATTTTCATAATAATCAAATGATCAATCATTTATGAAAAAATAGATAGTGTCTAGCAGGACGAAACTTGCGTCCAGGATTCTACTACTAGCCACTATCCATCTTTACTTACGATGTTTGTGAATTAAGGCCAATATCGAGGCAATCCGCGCAGGGTGCACACGTGCCAACAAGAGACTAATCAATTGCAGTCCTAAATAACAATAAGAAGATACAAGTAAAACAACACCAAGCGAATTTAAACTTCACCCCATTGAACAAACAGTTGGCTGTAAGGACTAAATAGCTAAGTGGATAGCACGATGAAGTTTGAAGCGCACGGTTCTAGGTTTGAGTCCCAGAGTGAACATCATCTCTGGAATGCAAGTACATCCAGCTGATGAGTCCCAATTAGTACGGAACACACGTTCTAGATTCCACTACTAGCCACTATCCATCTTTGCTCAGAAAGCTTGTGACTTAAGGCTATATCGAAGCAATCCGTACAGGATGAATATTCTATACTGTTTTTTCAATTAATCTCTCCTTTTTTTATTATTATTTTAATAGAAGTGAAAAGTTCATTTGGTGTATTAATTACTGAAAAAGAAATTTCATCATTTGAACGTATAGCAGCTGATTGGTTTCGACGTACAAAAACTAATTATACACCAGAATATTGGGTACCTATACAATGGGCTCAAAGATTAACATTAAAAGCATTACAAAGTGGTTATATTGATGATCCTAAAGTAGCATTTTATACTGTTGAAGTATGTTCATTATTCTATTCCATTTAAAATCTTTATAGATAACTGTTAAATAGTTATAATCAGAGAAGGCATTTTGTAATTTGAAAGTTGAATTCATGAGTATATTTAAGGTAGACCGCCATGGTAAAACTCAGAAACATTGGACGGCCGTTTTGTCCTATTGTGGGACTCCTCAATAATACTTTAATAGAACGAAACAGCAGTCCAGTGCTTCTAGGTTTTCCATGATGATCTAGCTTCAGTTGACTCATGAAGTCAACTATTAAATTATTAAATAATTCTAAAATAAGTTGAAATACCAACCTGAAGATTGTTGTGACTTTAAGCCAGGCTTAATATCATGTGACTTATATGCCAATCGAAATACAACTTATTTAATCTTAGTACTGTGCCAAACCAATGATGTATCGACAAGTATGAACAGCTTAGCGTCTTTTTTGGTCCTTTTCCTCCTAGTCCTGCCAGTTAAGTCCAGAACACCTATCTCAACCTATCAGGTATGAATCATTTATTTCAAACATACTTGGTTTATATACCCGCCAAACAGACTACATCACACCGTAAAATAGCAAATAACATTTATACAAGATCAAGCCAAAAAGTGACTGTGAATGTGGTAGACACCAGTTAATAAACTGAGTATAATTTAAGAACATGGTTATTCTAGGAGTATAATCCAGTGAAATAAATTTAGAAAGAGAAGAAAGAAAGGGACATGAAGAATACAGAAGATTAGAATTTGGGAGAACACAAAGAGTGAATGCACCTGCGCCATTGCAAACGATTTTGAGCCATGTCATTCAAGGTCTCTAGCCATCAGTTGCTATCATCTCGAGGATCCCAACCCGGTAATCTACACCTAACAACATGGCTCAGTCCACTTGTGAGTGACCTCATGAATTTGTACCATGTTTTGGTCTGGTCAACTCTAGTTTTCTTCCATCCTACTCTTACACCATAAAACATCGCACATCGGTGGTTGGGCATACGTAACACGTGTCCCAGCCATCTCAACTGATGAAGTTTCATTAATCCATCAATTGATTTGCCATCCTTACCCAGTACCCGTTTCCTAACAACTTGCTCGTTGGTCCCACGATATGCGAACAATGCTTCGAAGACACCTATGATTGAATACTAGTAACCTACGAATGTCCTCTACTATTACCGACCATGTTTTATAGCCATAAAGTAAGACGGAACGAACTGCTGCGCAGTAAACCCGTCATTTGGTCGGTAGGCGTATATCTCGTCTACACCATAAATGACTCAAGTTAGCAAAAGATAGTCAAGCCTTCTGTATCCCTGCTAAGATTTTATCACACACCAGACCACAAGGACTGATGAAACTCTCAAGATAAATGAAACCGTCGACACGCTCAACATTCGAACAGTAATTCATAATCCATAAAACAAATATTAATCTTAGATCATATTCTTAGAAATTAGTGTCAAGTTTCATAGACCTCGACATCTGAGGGAAAACACGGCATACAATGGACAGCTCAGAACCAATTAGACGACTTAGACTTTGCAGATGACCTAGCCTTCCTATCTCATACACACGAACAAATGCAGATAAAGACACCCAGTGTAGAAGCAGTCTCTACATCAGTAGGCCTCAACATATACAAGGGCAAATCCAAGGTCCTAAAATTCAAAGCGGAGAACAGCGATCCAATCACCCTTGATGGCGAAACTCTGGAAGACATAGAATCCTTCACATACCTGGGAAGCATTGTCGATGAACATGGAGGTTCAGATGCAGAAGTAAAGGCGAGGATTGACAAAGCAAGATCCGCATTCCTACAACTGAAGAACATATGCAACTCAAAACAACTTTCAACCAACATCAAAGTCACAATCTTCAATACAAACGTCAAGGCAGCCCAACTGTACAGGGGTGAAACGTGGAGAACTACAACAACCAACATCAAGAAGGTACAAGTATTTATAAATGGTTGTCTACGCAAGATATTCGACATCCATTGGCCAGATACCATCAATAACATTCTACTGTGAAAGAGGGAAAATCAACTTCCATCTGAACAGGAAATTAGGAGAAGACGATGGAAGTGAATAGGACATACATTGAGGAAATCACCAAAAACTTCATCACGAGGCGAGCCCTAACTTGCAATACTGAAGGGATGCAAAAAAAACTAGAAAGGCCAAAGAACACATTACGTGAAGAAATTGAAGCAGATATGAAAAGGATGAATAACAACTGGAAGAAGCTGGAAAGGATTACCCAGGACAGTGTTGAGTGGCCTCTGCTCCTTCGCGAGGAGTAACAGGCGTAAGTAAGTATGTAAGTTCATGATCACTTGCCTTTTGTTAGTTATACACTTAGTTACCAATTAATAGTATTCATTTGCAAAATTGATTAATCTTTATCTTTTCTCTTATTTTTATAGAATATTGGTAGAGTTAGACAAAGTATGCAGAATTTACAAGTATACAGTAGTATTATGATTCCATTAGTGTATACTCAAGTAAGTGAAACACTGACAAAAGTTTTAATTCAATTTCAAGTTATACAATAATTTGACAGAATTTACAAATGAAGATGATCACTGAATTCGAATTCAACGACTCAACAGTATCATTTTAGAATGTGACTGACAGATACAACAAGAAAACAAACTTGTTTTATATAATGTGAATTTAAAAGTGAATGTTTCATAGGAGTTGTTAAATTATTCTAAGTATATGTACAAACCCAGTGGTCTAAAAAGTTCAAGCTCCAGTTGTGAGACTTGAAAGTCGTGGATTCGATTTCCAACAGGATCACAGATGTACACTATTGAGGAGTCCCATCCAGTGATCCAGGGTTTTCAACAGTTGTCTAAAATCCATGTTACAAACTATAAGACATAATTGTTAGGTAATTCTTATAATTTATGGATGAGCCAATCAGAAGCGTCCGGGGGAGTTCAAGGTCACAGCAACAATTTCAGTACTAGAGGCTCATATACGATCGGTTCACAGCAAATGGTTCACAACAAATGGGATTACTAAGAAGTTTCTTGATTTTTGATTATGTAAACCAAATGACTTGTGGGCCTTGTACAGACTACTGTGATGATGCTTTTTCGATATAATATATGTTGGAGGAAGAAGTCTGCTAGAATAAGAATTTTTTCGCTCGATCCAGATTGAGACTAAGGCAAATTATGCTCATTGCTGAGAACTGGCTGCAACATTTGCAGATGTTACTGAAGTTTCGACTATTCAGTGGTATGAGTATTGTAGAGATATATACTCAGTGAGAATGACAAGCTTACACGAGTCGGTTGGAGGAGTCATGAGGACCGTTGAAACAGACGAAACAGTTGTCAGAAAACGAAAATTCAACAAAGGATTTAGTGTTAGATAAGTCTGGGTAAGTAGCACTTCCATAAATATACCTCACAGGTCCTTGGAATATACGACAGGTCAAGTGAACGGTAATATATGCAGCCGCGTACTACAATATAAACGGATGACTGGAGAGCGTATCGATGCCTACATAGACTTGGTTATGTGCATCATGTCGTTGTCTACAAGTAGCATTTTGTGGACCCAGCAACCGTAGTGCACAAAAGCAATATTGAAGCTATAAGGTCTAGGCTGAAAGAAGTTTTGCGACTTTATTATATCTGCAGAGGTCGACTACTATAGAACCATATGGATCAGTTCCTCTATCATATGCATTATGATTCCAGAACCGCTGAACCTCTTTCTAACCTTATAAAGTGTTTAAATCATGCAAAAGAAGTGTATTCACTCTAATTCTTTGGTTTTGTATAATACATTTTTACTCTAAACTACCAGTTTCCTGATTAACCACTTAAGATTCGTTCAAAAGTCATTCATAAATTCTAGTCTCGCCGTACTATAAAGAATATTGGCAATTATCTATCATAGTTAGTCTACGTTTGTATAGGACGCTATTGAGCAGAGATGGTCTATGAAAGTACTTTTTGTCCTATTCGTAACTGGTCAGCTGGATGTAACCGCGTCACATTCATTCCGGAACTTCAACCTAACACCGTTCGTTTCAAATGTTATTACATGATCTACAGAACTAATACTTTGAGCAATAGGATAATTCTTGGTTGTTCGAAATTTCCCATTTGTTTGTGATCAATCACTGCTTATTCTTTCAATAATGTTAATAAGAAAAGTCATAAATTAATTTTCTAATGAGTACTTTGACTAGATTTCTTGAATCATAAAACATCATGAATGAATTGATTTTCCATCTCGAAAATGTCCCAGTCATTCTACTTAATAATCAGTCTAATTTGAATCCATTTTACAAAAATACAGTATATAAAAGCTTAACGAATCAATAAACTATCATTCTACTACCAATTGAAAAACACTAATACATTTTCGAATTATTCACCAAGTATATTTGTAAGTTTTTGATTGAGATCATAAACCGATTGATGTTAGACCACCATTGAAAACCTGAAAGTATTGGATGGCCGTTTCATCCCAGTACGAAACTCCTCATCACTGCGTATCTACAATTCTGCCACGTGTGATTTAAATCCAGAGCCTTTGGTCTCAAACACGACTTGTTAATCTCTAGACCACTAAGCTGGTCGGTATCCAATGGTGTTAATGTCTAACTTCAACCAATCCATGACATTACGCAATCATCTTCTCTACTCGCCCGACCGTTGTTGCTACCTTGATGTGGTGGTCGAGCTTTCTTGTCGTGATGAACCAATGGAGCTATACTGGCTGGAACAAATATCCCTCAAGGTCTTACCATACCAGACAGGTCGGTTGAATAGAGGTAAGACTAAAAGCAACAAACCCAAAATCCGAAGGCGAAGTCGTACTGCTGACTGTATAGAGGTGTGACAGCAGAAAGGTGTTTCCTTTAGACAACCAGCATGACAGTGGTGCTGCCTTCCCATAAGGAGGGGTGGGGTTAGAAAAGGTCGATCATAAAAATGCCCATCTCGCTTTATCCCACAGAAACCCGTCTCCAGCGGTAAGGTCTCAACAAGTACGGAGCTAACACAAAAATTACCCATAAAAAGGTCGTGTGTGACCAACCTCAAGCAGTTGTCCCTTGGCCACTATGGTCACGCTCTCCGGTCACTAAAACCACCTCTAATCCAATTTCCTTTTCAGGCACCTTCAAAAGAACCCTTCCACGGTGTGGACAACCGGGAAGTGATAATCACCCTCATACCTCTCACAGTACTCAACACTACTGTATGCATAATCAATCTCAACTTCTCTACCCGACATGGTTCGTATGTTTCATTCATCAAACTTTATACGGTCAAATCATTGATCAGTTTATGTTGTACACCTTCAACTAGTTCCTATTATAATTCATAAATGATTGTTTAATTCATTCTTTTATTCATTTATATATGATTATGTAATACATTGATGATTATTTACTTTATAGGTTGTAATTATAGCAGTTTATAGTTATTTTATGTGTCAAATATTTGCTTGTCAATTTGTTGAACATCGTAATCAAAATGGTCAGCATAATGTGGATTTATATGTCCCAATTTTTAGTATATTCTCTTTCTTATTCCTTATGGGTTGGTTAAAGGTAAGAATGATTGAACTTTTTAAAAAAAAATTTACATGTAACCTTTAATTTGATAAATGGTTTATCCGACTATGATTAGAATACAATGGGGTTTGTGGAGATTGTAGTGTATTCAAAGTTGAATTCATTGCTGAAGAGTCCAATACTAGGACGAAATTGCCGTTCAGTGCTTTCAGATTTTCAATGGTAGTCTAGTTTAGATCGACTCGTGAATTCAACTATTAAAATTATTACAATTTCCACAAACCTCTATTCTAATAATAATCATGTGCTCACTTGGGACTAGCTTCAAGATGGATTTCTTTGAGTTCTAGTAAGAAATTATCACTAGTAGAGTAAATCTGTGTCTGTTGTGAGTCAGTTACTTACTGAAAACAACAAAAGATGATCGTGAAATATCGTAGCTGGATTTAATTCAAATATTAACACCGTTGGTTTCTGATCCAGCGTTTTCGTGCGAGACCGAATGTCCTGGGTTCGAGTCCCTTTGATACGGAAACGTGAATGCTCACTGCTAAGAAGTCCTATACTAGAACGAAACGGCTATCAACTTCTTCTAGATTCTCAATCGTGATCTAGCTTAAATTAACTCATGAATTCAACTATTAGCATAAAATGAACAGTTGAAAGGCAATCAGATACCACCTTCATATTCAATTGACTGAAAATAAACTTAAAGACATGATGAAAAAATGGTATTTTATTTCGGTTCAATTTTTTTAAGGTTAAATCCATTAGGAACCTTTGAAGTGAACCAGTGAAGTGTAGGCTAACTGGTAAACTTCTGCTCTATCAAATTACAATTTCTTTAAGGATGATTTGTCGTTGACGCATGTGCCTAATTTATAACGTAGAATACGTTCAATGATTCAAAATAGTGTGAATGAGCTTCTTAATTCTTGTTAACAAGCACAAAAACTTCGGTTTCTTATTTCACTCCATTAAAAACCATGTCAATACTATGATATGGCGAGTAATACCTTAGTCAATTCAAATGCTGATGATATACGAAATTGATATATATTTTCTAATTGTATGTGACATGGATTCATATCTTAAGAAAGATTATAGATGCTCACTTGTATAATATAATCTCAAATAGAATGAAATGAGCATTGTGCATTTCACTAATAATCACCATCCATTTCTACTTAAGCATTCTTCTGACTTAGTGTCAACTTTGATACAAACCTTAGAGGATGCATATGTGCCGAGAGAAACTGATCGATTTCAGTTGTAAACTTCACGATGGTGAGTGTGCATTGCTGAATAGTCTCACGACAGAACGAGACAGCTGTCCAGTACTTCCAGGTTTTCAGTGGTGGTCTAACATCAATCAGTTCATGATCTCAATCAGAAATATAAAATTAACTATTTACAACTGCTACTAGTCTATTAATTATCGATTACGTATTAATAATTACTACTAATATTAGTGATAGCAAAATTGAGGCGGGTTAGAATCATATTAGGAAAAGGAAGTGTGCAAGTCACTTTTGATTATGCAAACCAAGCCTGCTGTCCACAAGTTTCTGTCTCGTTATTCATCTGACCTAACTTTACACCATCTTTTGAAAATTATCTACGAGAATACCAGAAAATTTGTTTGGAAAAAGCATACTTTGTAGCGGTGATATAACATGCTCCACAAAAGCAAGTAAACTAATATATTTAAAGGATCTGAAACTTCGAGAACTACAACAACCACCATCAAGAAGGTACAAGTATTTATAAATAGCTGTCTACGCATGATACTCAATATCCACTGACTGGATCCAATCAACAACATCCTACTGTGGGAGAAGACAAATCAGCTCCCAACTGAAGAGGAAATTAAGAAAAGACAATGAAAATGGATTGGATGTACATTGAGGAAATCACCAAACAACATCACGAGTCAAGCGATAACTTGAAATCCTGAAGGGATGCAAAAAAATAGAAAGGCCAAAGAACACATTACGTCGCGCAACAGAATCAGATATGAAAAGGATAAATAACAACTGGAAAGATCTGGAAAGGATTGGCCAGGACAGTATTGGGTGGAGAGTGCTATTGTGCGGCCTACACTCCTCCACGAGGAGCAACAGGCGTAAATAAGTAAATAATATATATATATATAGTTAGGTGAAGTACTTCCAAATCAACCATCGACTGAAGAATTCTACACGAAGCTCCACTGAATATATATATAGCCTTTCTTAAAGTTCTTGAATGTTGGTTTTTAAGGATTTCTGAGGATTTCTTTTTTCTACATTTTTCAGGTAGCTTTATGTGTTATGAATCCATTCGGTGATGATGATGAAGATTTTCAAACATCAAAAATTTTAGATTATAATTTAGATGTTAGTTATCGATCTGTATTTATGGATCCTGATGCATTTCCAGAAAATCTATCAGCTCCATCAGGAAATAAACGATCTGATGATAATGAATCAGATGATTTACAAAAATTTTTAGATCAAGTTGATCATGAAATTGAAGAAGTTAGAAATAAAGGATTATTAAATGAGTAAGTAAAGTATTTATAGTTGATCATTTGTTTATGATTGAAATGCCACCTCTTGAGTTATATTTCATGATCAGAGGTTATTTGATGAAATTAGGGGCGGCCAAACCAAAACATGGCACAAATCTATGAAGTCATTGACAAGTGAACTGAGCAATGTTGGTAGGTGTAGACTAACTGGTTGGGATCCGCGAGATGAAAGAAACCGATGGTTGGAGACCTTGAATGATATGGTTCAAAATCATTTGCAATGATGTGAGCAGGTGCATTCACTCTTTGTGTTCTCGCAAATTCTAATCTTTTAAATTCTTCATATCTCTGTTTTCTCTTTCCAACATCTTCAAACCTTAATTTTTCCGATCACTGCTTATACTTTTACTACCTCTACCATTATGGGATTTGAATGAACAATTGTATCTGTGTGCTAATATGGTATGGCAACTCGAACTGATGTATGTACGTACGAAGTTCTACGTTGTTACTGGCTGACCGTTAAAAAAAGAAGTGATATTTTTGCATACTAACTGTGTTTACAAATATCAGTATGAGGTTGTGAAGATTATTGAGTTTCTGATTGGGATCATGAATGGATCAATGTTAGACCATTATTAAATACCTGAAAGCATTGAATGGTCATTTCGTCCTAGTATGGGACTCTTCAGCAGTGTGCATTCACGATTCTGCTTACGGAATTTGAACCCTGAACCTATCGGTCTCGCGCGCCAAGGCCTAACCTCTGGCCGGCATTTATTGGTGTTAATGTCTAACTTCAATCAATCCATGAAATTTTGCGACTGTCTACCATTGTCTTTAGTAAATTACTATCTCACAACAAACCCAGTTGAACTCCACTGGTTACTGCTTTTCACTAGAACTCCAAGAAATAACTCTCGAAGTCAGTCAGTAGTAAGCATATGCTGTCTGTTGTAAGGTAGTAACTCACTGAAAACAGTGGTGGCTGCGCCATTCAATTCCGTGAACTAGATGAACTTAGACATCAACACAATCGGATGCCAGCCACCTCAGTGGTCTAGAGGTTAAGTGTTCTCGCGCGAGACCGAAAGTCTTAGGTTCAAATCTCGCGAGGGGGGATCATGGTTACACCCTGTTGAGGAATTCCATGCTAGAACGAAAAAACTGTCCAGTACTTCTAGATATTCCAGGATGGTCTAGCTTTGATTGATTCATACTTTGAAAAAATTGCAACTCATCTATGCAGTTAGTGATGAATAAAGTTTAAAAAAAACAAATTTTATTTCAGTGTATCTAACTTGGAAATGCATCCATCATTTTGTGAACGTGCAAGAAATTTATGTTGCTGTGAGAAAAAGAAAACACCACCACCTGGTAAGTTATAAATTTTTTTTCGTTTTTTTTCTCTCTTTCTAAAAAATTCTTTTCATACTACTTATCACTCATTTTACAATTTAAGTAGTATATACTTAAAAATATAAATTCGATAAAAATTTAAATTAGCGCTTATTCAAACTGTACAGTTATAATTCCATCATCTTTCTATTACATAAGATGAAATATTAAATTCAGTAGTATCAATGGGATAATTCAAATAACCAATTCAAATAATGAATCTGGACTTAGTAACTAAGTGGATTTTGCGATGATGTCTAAAGCAGATGGTAACAGATTTGAGTCTCGGAATGAACATCAATTCTAAGATGTAAGTACATCCGTTTGACGAATTTCAAAACAGGATGGAACGAGCATACTGCATTCTACTGCCAGCCATCATCATATCTACTTATTGTGCAACATAAACATTCTTGTAAAATGAACCAGTGTGTTATTAATTGGAATTAGTGGGTTTTATGTTGATTATGTCTTAAGTACCAACAAAATATGTTATCAGTGGAGTTAAAATTGTCACACAAGAAGGGCGGCATCATTGATGGACACGTTGAATTTGATGCACATGTCAAGACAGCTCTACTATATGGAGCAGAAATCTGAAGAACTACTAAAGTCATCATTCAGAAGATACAAGGGTTTATTACCAGTTGTCTACGCGAAATACTTCGGATTCGTTGGCCAGACACTATCAGCAACAACCAACTGTGGGAAAGAACAAACCAGATTCCAGTGGAGGACGAAATCAGGAAGAAGCGCTGGAAGTGGATAGGACACACAATGAGGAAAGCACCCAACTGCGTCACAAGGCAATCCCTCACGTGGAATCCTCAAAGCTAAAGGAAAAGAGGAAGACCAAGGAAAATATTACGTCGAGAAATGGAGACAGACATGAGAAAAATGAACAAAAGGCGTAAGTAAGTAATTACAAGCCGATGGGTTCCGGTTAATCGGTTAGACAGTCTGTGTAAATGTTCAGTACGAAACCCAAATTTGATATTGATTTTAATTAGAAAACTACTTAAGAGTGGAAAACATTGGACAACTATTTTTTATCATAAGACCCCTTAATATGATACGTCTACATTATCACTAGGATTCAAAGCCAAGACCTTCAGGCTTCACGGTGATAGTCTAAACTACTGAGTTGTTAACTATTAGTTTACATTTCTAACTGGTAAACTTGTGATAGTCCTTAATCATTACCAATTGCCATTGATCTAATATATAACAAGGCCAAGCCCCATGGATGGCAGTTCTCCACTAGAGCTCTTTGAATTACCTTTCGAAATTGGTCTTTATTGAGCACCTTTGCGTATATATTTGTTGCTATATATAAAAATGAGATAGTAACTCACTGAAGACAATAGTAGATGTGTCATTAAATTTCGTGGATTGGTTGAAGTTAGGCATTAACACCGTTGGATGCCAGTCTAGAGGTTAAGCGTTCGTGCGCGAAACCGATAGGTCCTGTGTTCGAATCTCTCAGGGCGGGATCGTGGATGCGCACCGCTGAGAAGTTCAGTACTAGGACGAAACGGCCGACTAGTGTTTCCAGGCTTTCCATGGTGGTCTAGCTTCAATTAACTCATAATTTCAACTATTCAAACAGAAGAATGTCAAATATGATTTCATTTGAATTTTATTACTAAGTATAAATATCCGTAAATCAATAATGAACATAACAGACATCTAGCTACCACGTTATAATTTTAAATATCAATTCGGCAAGCCAAATTTAAAATATTTAGTTTAGGAAAATTCGCAGACTTAAAGGCGAGGATTAGCAAAGCAAGATCCGCATTCCTACAACTGAAGAACATATGCAACTGAAAATAATTGCCAACCAATATCAAAGTCACAATCTTCAATACAAACGTCAAGACAGCCCTACTGTACAGAGCTGAAACTAAAAGAACTACTACAACCATCATCAAAATGTTACGAATATTCATGAATAGATGTCTACGCAAGATACTCAATATCCCTTGGCGGGATACCATCAATAACATTCTACTGTGAAAGAGGGAAAATCAACTTCCATCTGAACAGGAAATTAGGAGAAGACGATGGAAGTGAATAGGATATACATTGAGGAAATCACCAAACTTCATCACGAGTCAAGCGCTAACTTGCAATCCTGAAGGTAAGCAGAAAAGAGGAAGTACAAAGAACACATTGCGTCGGATAATAGAAGCAGATATGAAAACGATGAATTACAACTGGAAGGAGCTGGAAAAGATTTCCCAGGACAGTGTTAGATGGAGAGTGATGGTGTGCGGCCTATGCTCCTCCATGAGGAGTAACAGGCGCACGTGTGTAGGTTAGTAATAGGGAGATTTGCAAACGTTGAAGGAATTTCCGACTTCAAATCACGCGCTGATTTTATCTTGATCACCACTGAAAATACAGAAGCACTGGACGATCGTTTCATTTTCGTGTGCATCCACAGCTTTGCATGTACGAAATCAACCTATAACTTTTGATCTTGCATCTTATGATTTATCTAGGTGTATTAGCTGTCACAGTCATGTTGAAATCTACAAATATTCTTATTTGCCGTCATTCTCTGTTGATAAATGTCTTTTACTACATACGAATGTTGTTTATTAGTGTAGAGTGGTCGAGTTTCAAATATGGGTTACATTATTAATAATCAAGTGTGATACACTAAACAATTGATAAAGACAAGCGTCACTGGTTATTAGTATTTTCCAAACAAGAGAACTTACCTAGTAGATAACGCTCTGACATTTCAAGATAAGAATGTAGTGAATGAATGATTAGTATCTTACCTGTAAGTTTAGGGACTTAAATACACTTGCCTTCTAGGTTTTACTACAAGGCAACTCTAAACATACCATTTGCCTTTCAATAAAAAACTAATGACATCATAGACATAAACTCTAAAGTGCCTCAACAAACATATTTTCATGGACTGAACCTAGACATTCACAATATTTGTGTACCGCCTCTGTGGTCTAGAAGTTAATTATTGACAAGTGAGACCAAGAGGGCATAGGTTCCATTTCCAGTTATGAGGTCAATAAATGATTACCGCTGAGGTGTCTTATACTACAATGAAATGGTTCCTAAGTACTTCCAGATTTTCAAAGTTTGTCAAGCTTAGATCGATTCTTGATTCCATTGAAAACAATAATTGGTTTTTTTATTACTCTTTATATTGGTCACCATTTGTCTATTCTTTTCAAACTCCACAATCTCTCTTAAATCACTTTAGCAATTATGGTTACAAACGTAGATTACGGTGAGTATCAACCGATATATAAACATATATATTTATCATTTAAATTTATTTATTCAATGCATAAAATAAGGTGAACAGAAACTCATTTATTGAACATTTTCAAACTTGGTTGATAAGATTCGATCTGCACTAAGAAGAACTGGACACATATAACATTGATCATCACCCAGTGATTAATCCATTGTGAATACATCTCAGTCTGACAGAAAGTTAGTCGCGGCCCTGATATCTCAGTGGTAGCGTCTCTGACTGTGAAGCTGGGTGATACGGGATCGAATCCGTCAGGGAGCATCAGTTCCCTCAAGATTACAGGTACACTTTGCCTATGAGCGCCGAATAGCACGAAACCTAGATCTACGACTTCATGTTGACTACCTCCAACCAAAAAACATTAGGTCCATCAACTTGTAATTATTTATTCATTAGAATAAAGGAAATAAAATGAGAATATTATATGCCACATTAAATTTGACGATAAATCCAGTTTTCGATGGAATACATTCTAAACAATCTGATTATTTCTAAGAAAGATTAAAAGTGTGTTATAATGGACGATTTTCTTTGTTTACACGAATAGAACGTTAATTTACCTGAGACGAATATCCGCACTGAATACACTTCCAGTGTCTATTCTATAGAACTTCAACATAACTCATATTAAGAACATGTGACGAGCCTGACTAGAATGTTAGTATATTACCACTTCAAATACTGACACTATTAGTCTGACTAAGTGAACAACTAATCATTATTTCCTTCATCCACGTATCATAGTGAATGATTTTGATGTTACTGTTTTCTGCTTGAAGTAGGCACTGGTGATGTTAAAAAACATAATAATAAGAAGCAGTGATCAGTGAAGTTCAACCAGGTCTGTTGTGAGGTAGTAACTCACTGATGACAATGGTGGATGTGTCATTCAATTTTGTGGATTAGTTGAAGTTAGAGATTCGCACCGTTGGATGCCGGTCAGCTCGGTGGTCTAGTGGTTAAACGCTCGCGCGCAAGACTGATGAGTCCTGGATTCGAGCCCCGCGAGGAGGGATCGTGGATGCGCACTGCTGAGGAGTCCTACAATGGGACGAAACGGTCGTTCAGTGCTTCCAGGTTTTCCATGGTGATCTAGCTTCAACTGACTCATGATCTTAACCATTAAAATTACTACAATCTCCACAAAAGCCCTTCTGATAATAATAATAATAATAATAATAATAATATTAAAAGGCATCAGTTACACTTGTTGTCATTATTAAAAGAAAGTTGTATATCAGATTTTCTGATTAAACTGCTCCCTTATTATTGCAACAACAAAACTATGTATAAAACAGGATAACCCAGTGGTATGATTATTTCAACATAGAAATCAATATATTCTCTATTTAACAGTCAAATCAGGCAACAACATAAAAAGATAACATTGAATGAATGTGATTGATAATTCATTCGATTTTCATTACTTTCTTTTCATTTACATACTACCTACCATTCTCAAACAGCATGAATGGAACATTGAAGTAGGTCTCCCGACTCTAATGGAAGTTCAAAAATCGATAGCTAATCTGAAACGATGAAGAACATCTGATTCAGATGGATTATCCCCAAAAGTCTTTAAGGATGATGGTCTAGTTTTAGTGATTAGGTTAACTTATATTTTAGCTAAAATTTGGGAGTTCGACGTAATGGTAGCAATACCTAATTGTCCCAATATATAAGAATGGGTCAAAATCATTTTGTGATAACCATAGAGGTATTAGTTTGACCAACATAGCATCTAAAATACTAGCCTCAATAATTATTGGGCGCCTAACAAAGACTCGTGAACTGCAAACATGAGGAAATTAGGCTGGTTTCAGACCTGATCGTGGCTGCGTCGACCACATATTCACTATTCGTCAGATTCTAGAACACAGACATTCTTATCGGCGTCCGACAATGGTGGTCCTTCTTGACTTAAAAGCAGCATTTGACTCTGTAGACCGAGAGGTCCTGTGACAGTGTCTGTCATTGAAAGGTGTACCTCAAAAGAACATAAACCTTGTTAAGGCTCTTTACTCGAACACTACTAATCGAGTGAGAGCTTATGGCGAATTATCATCTGATTTTGCAAGTGGTGTTCATCAAGGCTCTCCATTATATCCATTTTTGTTCAACTTCATCAAAGACCTACTTCTGAAAATAACATTTTCGTCGTCTGGATTTTCAGGAATTGATCTCCTACCAGGAGGTCTACATATTGACCTCGAATATGCAGATCGAATATTCCTGTTTGGTGAAGACGCTGATAAAATCCGGAGTCTTTTGGTAGCGTTGAGCAACAATGCCAAGATGTTTGAGATGCGCTCCTCTCCCTTTAAATGCACATTGTTACTAAAGGACTGGCCTGAGTCAACACCTGAACTAAGGATAGGGAATAAAGTAGTGGAACCCGTCGACATATTCACTTATCTTGGAAGTCTGATCACCCCAAATTGGTTGGTGTCTGACGAAATCTCTGTACGGACTCAAAAAGCTCGTCTGACTTTCACCAAGTTACATGATCTGTGGCAAAGGCCAGATATCCGTCTATCATTTAAAGGGCGAGTGTACTGCTTGACAGTTTTTTTTGTTCTACTTCACGGCTGCGAAATGTGGCGATTAAGAGTAGAAGATACTTGTAACCCACTAGTATTTGACCACAGATGTCTTGGAAATATTGCTCGTATCTGCGGCGATCACCGAGTAAGTAGTAGTGAGATTAGACGCAGGGTACTAGGAAATGATAGTAAATCAGTTGATGAGGCTGTGAATCTTCATTGACTGAGATTGTTGGGTCACGTTTTTGTGTGCCTGAACACCGATCACCACGACGTGCAATGCTGACCAGTGTTGAGGATGGTTGGGAGAAAGTTAGGGGCGGTCAAACCAAAATGTGGCATCAGTGCTTGAATTCACTAACTTCTAGTCTGAGCCATGTTGGTAGATACAGACTACTTGGTTGGAGTCCGCGTGACAATCGTAACCAATGGTTGAATTAACTACTTCTATGATTTTGGTGTTCATCTTATTGTGTTAATGAGGTATGGCAACGTAGACCTATGTGTATATATGCCTTGTCCTACATTGTAGCTTATTGACTAACTTCACTTACATATATATAAAAGAACAAAGAATCTATTGTATTCTTCAAATATTATCTCTCTTAATTTGTTTTAATTTATAAAAAGGAATCAAAGTATACTTTCCAGTAGGTTCGAACTGTTTTCCAATGTAAAAGTACCTCTGATATGGTATTCAACACTGTACACACAGAGAGTTATTCAGACATCTGACTAAGTATATATTCACGTCTTTTACATCCAACATATTTATTTCCATACTGAGAAAATATTATTTATTAGGGAAGAATTCAAAATATTTTGTTATATCATCGTCAACTTGTTCGTCTAAGTAGACTTAAGCTGTATTTTTTTTATAGTTCAATTCATGAATCAATTTAAAGTAAGATCACTATGAAAAACCTGGAAGCACTGTGAGATAGTAACTTACTAATGACAATAGTAGATGGTGATGCAATTTCATCAATGGATTGAAGGGCGAAACTCTAATTTATGGACAAACCTTGAACGAACCTCGACAATTATTAGCCAATCAGAAGACAGTCAGTATAAAGTAAAAATATATTATAAGGAACTAATGAATTACAGTGGATATTCTTCTTTTACGTGATTTAAAAACTTGTTAAGGTTTGATAAAGGTTCAGATGTTCTGAAATCATAATGAATACGATATAGGAACTCGTCCATATGGCTCCGTAATAGTCATCCTCTAGAGCAGTGGTACGGTCTTAAAAATTCCTTCAGTCTGGACCACATGGCTTCAATATTATTAGTATAAACGCCAGTTGTAGGGTCGACGAAATGGCGCTTGTGCACTACGACACGATGCACATACCCAAGTCTATGTAGGCATCTGTAAGCTCTCTAATCATCCGTATATACTGTAATGCCCGGCTGCATGTATTCCTGTATATTTGGTATTACTGTGCTTGCTTGCCGGTTTCTGACCCTCTGAAAATGCCCCTTCTGTGTTGATCGATCATAAATTCCAAGTACCTGTCAAGTATATTTACAGAAGTGCTACTTACCAAATCTTCCTTGATACTATGTCCCCTGTTGTATTTTCGCTTTCTCACTACTGTTTAATCTATTTCCACAATACTTCCTACTCCTCCGAATGATTGGTGTAGACGTGTCATTTTAATTGCACATATGTCCTCCAACATGAAGAACAACGGAATACAATCTCATCACGGTAGTCTGCACACTTTACTGCAGTCACTTGATAACCACAGTCACACGTACAAGAACTTCTTAGTAATCTCATCTCTTGTAGTCTCTCAATAATCACCTCTTCTCTAAAATCCGCTGTAAACCGATCGTATGTGAGCATCAGGTGTTGAACTTGGCTCCATGACCTTGAAATTACTCGAACGCTTCTGATTGGCTCGTCCATAAATTACAGTCTCGCCATCGAAGGTCCTTGATACAAATCGCATGTGCGGAATTGTAAATATATATCTCTCAGCAGTCCTATACTAGGACAAAACGGCTATCTAGTACTTTCAAGTTTTTCATGGTGATCTAGATTTAATTAACTCATGAATTCAACTATTCAAATTACTAAAATCTCCACAAGACTCCCATTTGATATTAAACTGTATTGTTATAAGAAAGACTTGAATTAAATTGATTCATACTGCTAGGATTGAAGGTATTACGAGTTCACTTAATCTGCAAACGAGAAGCATGACTCAGTAACCAATAACCAATAAGCTAGCTATTAATGAGCTCCAGCAACTAGAGGGAAGTATATCCTGCAAACAGCCAGAAACGAGCGATGACAACAAACACATTTCAAAACGTATATATATAGTAAAAAACAGTCCTTGGGAAAAGTTACCCAATAGCATACTAAAAGACACAACAGACCAATAGCATTTAAGATATTTCCCGGTGGGAAAT